CCCCGCCCGGCACTGCAGAGTGCTGCAGAAATCTGAAATGACGCCGGGCCTTGACGGTACAGGACTCAGACTGCGTTTGCTTAGGGTTCTACAGAAACAGGTCCTCCACTGGCCACTGCAGTGAAGCATGTCAGTAACCCCGTTTCTGCTCATCTGCCATTGAAACCAAGAGACACGGAAATCATCTCCTTTTTAGCTGAGGGACTGTTGAAGGAGATGCAGAGATTTGCTCCAAAGCTGCCTTTCCCATCCCCACTACTCTGTGAGATTTCTTCTTTTATAGACAATACACTTTGAAAAAGTCATCTCTGCAGAAATTTTACTTTAAATTGAACAGCAATTAATTGCCAATGCCTGGCTCATTCTGAAGCTACTTATTGAACGCCAACAGCACACAAGCCGTGTGATGGAGGTAGCTCTGTCCCTTGCCTGGATGAACCCACAGCCATAAGAGATTCACTTGCAGGAAAACTGCACTTCATTTCCAAAGAGAGTAGGTACACACCCTATTTAGTTCAGATGAGTCCTGGTGGAGCAGATGTACAGGTACAAAAGGCAACAATAAAGCATTTTCTAATCGCTGTGGCACCTAAGGTCACACACACAGGCACACACGGTCATGGTGCTGGTCCTGTTCTGTGGAGGAGAGGTGTCCAATGCCAGCCTGTTGGAAAGGCACGTAGGAAGCCCCCGGCGGTTCCACAGATTACACCAGCCAGTCAGCCTCCCCAGGTGCCTTTACTGTCCAGCTGATGCCACCATGCAAAAGACGCGCTCATGAAATAAGCAGAAGAAAATGCACTTTTTTATCGCTCATAAAGAGAGGTGGATCCTATTTCATGTCCAGTACAGGAATGCATTAGCAGTGCTTCTGAAACTGCAGGAGATAAAGGAATTGCCACAGCTTTGCATATTTGGGTTCAGCAGACTGAGGTGGTGCAGAAGGGTTCATCCCCCACACTCACTGGGCACCGAGGCCCTGGCACACTTTCAGCACTTGCCTGGGGAAAACAAAACAAAACAAACAAGAACCCTGCTCCCAAGTGACTGTGCCAGGGTTCTCAGCACACTATCTGCTCACCAGGAACTTCACATCACGCGGAGCTTGTTGGAAATGCTGATCCCCAGGCCTCACCTCACCCTCCTGAGTCTGCAGCTCTGGGCCAGGTACCCAGGAATCTGTTATTTATTTATTTTTTTTTTCAGTATCGGGGATTTAACTCAGGACCTTGTGCTCGCCAGGCAGGCGCAGTGCCTCTGAGCTACATCCTGGCCAGGAGTCTGTGTTGTGACAACTTCCAGGTGACTCCGATGTGCACTAATGGTGGGAGCTGCTTCTCCGGGCGATGCTCGGGAAGTGTCTGTCCTACTGACCGCATCACAGTTGACCATGCCTGTGACCTCTGAGGACACTTGCCATGGCAGAATAAGCTTACACTCCCCTGAATTCCACGACAGCCTTTGAATCCCACCCTTTTGGTTCCAATTCAGAAAGCCCACAGTGAATCTAGAAATCTCCTATTTTACCCGTGTATTGGGGCAAGTTTAAAACTCATTAACCCCAGAACCACTTGTATTTAATGGGGTGGGAGGGGTGAGCTTTAATCAGTAAACTCTAATGTGTGAGAAATATATATATTCATTAAAACAACGAATGGATTCTATCCAGAGAAGAAAAGCCAAAGGAAGGACCCTTAGTGTACAATAATCAGTGATATATACCCCCCAACTCCTATCCAAAAACAAAACAAAAACCCACAATTGGGCATAGCGGTGCAGACTTGGCACCCAGCAATCTGGAATGCTGAGGCAGAAGATCACAAACTAAAGGCCAGAGTGAGCTACAGAGTGAATTAGAGGTCAGCCTGCCTCAAAAACCCAATTTATTCCTATGTAACACCAAACTCGGCAGCTATTCCCTGCAAATTAAGAGATACTGTGTCTCCTATCTTATTTCTAAGCATCTGTTAAGTTCTTAAATGGAAATATCGTGTCTATCTGAACTGCATGTGCTGTAGGATGATGGGTTCCAGTCCCATGAGGGTGGACACACCTTCTATATTCTGAAGGTATCTGATCAGCCCCGTATAAGGCATGGCTCATATGATGTTTATTTTCTTTTGTTTATCTTTGGGTAATTTACCAAAATATACAATGAGCAAATGCTACTATTGTCTTCTGAGGAAACAAATGTTGAACTTAGAATTTTAGTCATAGTTTAAATGTTATCTCCATTGTCCTGAGCCATATAACTTAATTTAATAATTTCAGTTTTTTTTTTTCATTTAACAGCTTCTTCAAATCAGTGGTTCACAGTGAATTCATCAACAAAAGTTTAAAATAATTTTTAGGTCCACGGCTTATCCTACTAAGATGTACAGTACATTTGTAGCCATAAATGCAAAATTATACACTTGTAATACTGATATTATTTTACATTATTATTTACATTATTTATCTTAGGACTAAAAAGTACTTTCTAGTTTTCTTTTTGCTCATCCCCTTTTTATTTTTTGAATGCCTACAAACATCATTATTGACATTTTCACCAAGATTACCACATTTCCCCTAATAATCATCTCTGATTCCAAACAGTCTCCTTCCTAGGCTTCTGGACAATCTGTCCCATCCCAGTCCCCAGTGGCTCTGATTGGCCGTCACTGGACGCACACGTCTCGTCCACAGAACCGGGAGCACCCCAAGGCCCAGATTAGGACAGTGCCCATTAGTACACATCTGTAAAGAGTTAATATTCATTACTGAGTTCTTCACGATGGATTCCTTACTGTGCATCATCCACTTGGTTAAAATCAGGCTAAGCGTTCTGATTCAGTGCTAGTGCAAATGAACAGATGCACAGCCCGGGAGGCTGATGTTGCTTTTTGGGGCCTGCAGGGGGCAGCTTTCCTTGCGACCATCATGCTGGGGACGCACATGCCTGCAGAAATGCGGCCTTTCTCGGGGTCTCCTGCTCACAGCTCAAGGTGCATCATATGTTTTTGAGATGAATGTATCTAAAGGAGGTCAACAGACTTTCCTAAGGGCCCAGTAATGAATATTTCTCCACATTTTGCACTGTGGCTACTGTTTCTGTTACCGCTCTAGGGAAACGTGGCCACAGGCAGCAGGTAAATAAGTGCTGGCGGCTGCCTGTCCAGTGAGACTTGATGGAAACCTGGGGTGGGCTGGGTTTGGCAGAGTCCTGTTTGAGCCCCTGACTTCAGTCACATTTTGTCACAGATGGAAAAGAGGAAACAGCCTCAACATATATTCTGCTTTTCAATAATCAAGGCTACGTAATCCTTCTATGTCATGATTTCATAAACCTTCCCCATTGTTTATTTACTTTTGTCATTTGATTTCATGTTTTAGAAAGCCTAGAAAACACAAATCCACAGTGACAGCATGCGGACCGGTGAAGCTGAGGGCTGGAATGGGATGGGCATGATTAGCTGAAGGAGGAAACTTCTTCCTCCTCTTCCTGCTCCTCCTCATTCTCCTTCACCTTCCTCCCAGTACTGGGGATTGAACCCAGGGCCTTTCCACTGAGCCATGAAGCCCCAGCCCTTTTAATTTTTTAAATTCTGAGACAGGGTCTCTTGCTAAGATGCTAATTTTCCCAGGCTGGGCTTTGTATGTTCCTGCCTCAGCCTCCCAGAGAGCTGGAATTACAAGCATGTGCCACCATGCCCAGCCCTTCCTTCCTGTTTTTCCTTTTCTTCTTTTAACTTTCCTTTTCTTTTTTCCCTTTATTCCTGCCTTTTCCTCTCTCCCTCTTCTCCTCCCTTCTTTCCTTCCTTTTGTGTTTCTTTTAAAAAATATTTTCTTGGTATATGTTTGTGATACATAATGAATCATTCACTATGCGGTACTGGCAGATAGTTAGATAGATAGATAGTTAGATAGATAGATACCCCCAAAATGTATACACATTTCAGGAAAAGAAAACTAGTATGATGTTTTTTTCAACAGATGGTGCTATCCTCTGTCTTAGTTACTTTTCTCTCGTTGCTGAGACAAATATCCAACACCCAAAGTTAAAGGAGGAAAGGTTTATTTAGCTCACGGTTTGTAGAGGTTTCAGTTCATAATCAGCTGGCTCCAAGGCAGGGTGGCACACGGCAGAAAGGCAACAGTGCATGGTGGTGGAAGACAGCAAATCAACAAGCTTTTTTTTCCTAAACAGCATCTTTCTGCCCTTTTCATCTTATCCAGGCTACTCAGGACGGCAGCACTCACAGCCTTAGTCCTACTGCCCTTGATCCTAGCTGAGCATCAGTCCCAGTGTCACACCCTCTAGATCCAGCCACCTCTGAAAAAGCCCCAGCTATGACTGCATGAGGCTTTTGGACGACATCCAAACGCAAACCATAACCCCCTTTTATGGGGGACCCTAGAGGATGTCGTATATGGAAGAAAACCCACTTCACTGCTGGTCCTTCAGAAGAAACCGAAAATGCATGTGCAGCAACCTCTTGAGCAAGGCTACCCAAGCAGCTGTTCACGGTACTAATGAAACGTCTGGAAGCCCAGGGCCACCGCTCTGAGCCCTCTAGCAATTGTAGAGGCCAAAGGAAACTTGTATTTATCTCATGATGTCTCAGAAAATTTAGCAGTAAAATATTTGTACAAGTTTTTCTTTCCCTGAGTGTGTATACATTTTTGGTGGACTACATCTGTACCTACATCATCTATATCTATATATCTACCTCGCATCTTGATCCTTTTATGCCCCCTTTCCCTCCTCTTCCTTGTCTTCCCCTTCCCCTCATGCCCTGTAAATTCAAGGAAACCACACATTTCAAGGAATATGAAAATGCCTTCCAAAATACTTTCTTCGTTAAAGTTTGGTAACTTTCCATGTAAGTTCTGTCAGTGCTTTTCATTGTTAGCCCAGATAGAAGTCAGCAGACCAGGGCAGCGCTGCTGCACACAGCAGCAGGCCCCACTGGGACTGTGCAGTGAGCAGAGGGGACAGAGTGATGGGACAGAGGTGGTACCTGGACAGGAAGTCAGGGAAGGAGAGGCGCACAGGGTACCCCAGGCGGAAGACCTTCACGAGCTCCAGCACGCCCAGGTACTGCAGCTGGGCCGACACGTAGAAGTGGTCAAAGGCGTCAGGCAGCTGCGCACTGTTGGGCTTGATGCAGTGCACGAAGTGGGGCGTGCCCTGCTGCAGCCTCCCGGTGAGCTCCGCCAGGGACTTCTGCAGAGAGAGAAGCTGCTGGGACCTGGGCCCTGCCCTGCCCTGCCCTGCCCTGCCCTGCCCTGCCCACCATGGTTGTGAGCTCTGCTGCCCAGGTGCTTGGCTCCCTGGTGTGGTGCTCACGCCCTGTGCGGGTGTGGACTGTCCTGACCATGCTAGTTGCTGAAGATGGGGGAGGATTCTATATAACCACCCCTCAATGTGCATGGAAACACACTCAGAACACACTCAGGCCCTTCCTCCATGATGTGCCAAGCACACTAGGCTGTGAATCTGAAAGTGTTACCTACCCTGAGCTGAGATGCCGTGGTCCCCGGATGATGTCCTCGTTCCAGTCTTTGAAGAAAGCTAGAAGTCCCTTTCTTTTTTAAGAACTGTAAGGAGAGAGAGAGAGAGAGAGAGAGAGAAATTTCAGTTTAGAAGGAAAAAATAGCAACTTACGCCTGAATTCATATAAATTACAGTGGTACCTCAGTTCACAGACTTGATTTTTTTCCACAATTCTGGCTGCAAACTGAGTTGGATGAGAATGGAATAAAATTCAATGGTTAGGTTTGACCTTGTCCTTCTGGGGAAAGGTGATTCGGTTCTGGTCCAGTTCAGTTTGTGACCAGCACCATGGAGAGAATCAGGTTCAGGGACAGAGGTGCACTGCAACTTGCCAGCAAAGCCGTAAGACAGACCATAGAATCAGGACGGAAGGCTTTTCTGAAATGCTGCTGTAGGTGGAGGTGACCGGCTGCTGTGAGCCTTTCAGGACGGGGCTGTGTGTAAATGGGCCCTGCACCCTCCACACGTGGTCCATGTAGGAGGAAATACAGATCCTGATCCACCTGGTATGGGGAAGTCACTGTGGGTCTGTGCTGACGGCACCCACTGTGTGTATTTGTCCTGTAGTGTCCCTTACTCTGGACAGAAGGACTCTATTTTATGTTACAGAGATTTGGTATTTTTGCTAGCTTGTTCCCATACTACAGTAAATATTGTGTGGTTGTATGGGTTTGATGCTTCCTTACCCTTTTTTCTCTTCCTTTCTTTTTTCTTCTACTAACTACTAAAATGGTTTAGTAAGTTACTTGTCTGTGAAAATTGACAATAGACTGTTTTGTTCAATGAGTAATTATCCATAGCTCTTTAAAGAAAAACAGTTATATGTACCAAAGATTAAATGATAATGGTGATTTTGAAAATCAGTGGAAATGAGGCGAATGGGTGCAGATGAAAAGGGCGGAGGTAATTAATGAGATTCTACCAGGGACGCTGTTAGGTTTCACTGAATCGCACAGACTTGAGCCAAGCGATCTACTGATCTAGAACCATTTCTCTTAAAATAGAAAGATATGAGAAACAATTCTGACTGAGGATCTCATCAATTTGGTGCCACTGCTATGATAATCGCTCATTTCCGTCCACGAAGATGAACTATCATGCTGGAGCGATTAATTGCAAGTGACGAGAGGTTGTCGACAAAAGCCAGGGCCGAGGTGATGCAGCCCCCAGTGAGCCTCAGTTAAAGGTCGGATAAAAGTCTATTTTCCGTGCCTCAGGGGGCTGTGCAGGGATGAGGGCTGTTTGAAAGGAAGAAACAAGGGTATGAGGGATGGCACACTTAAGGGAGAATCATAATAAATAAATCTCCACCCTTGAAACTGAACGCTCAATTTCCCTTTCTGAGCGAGGAACGACTGTGAATTATCTCTCCCTTCTGCGGACCTTTAGGGAAAAGACTAATGGCATCCAGGCCCCATAATGTTCCATAATTGAGGTTAAAAATCACAGTTTAGAGGTGTGCTGAGATTTCCTGCTCTCGATCTGCAGGATGATTGAGAAAGGAAGGCCAGGAAGCGCAGGAGAGCCTCAGGGAGGGAGCACACCCTGGTAATGGAGCCCTGAGCCCTTTGTGTAAGGGGTCCCTTCTCCGTGCAGAGAGGGGTCCTCTGGTGACCGCCTACCTCTAGAACAAGCACATCAAAGACTAACTCCAAGAGCTGCTGGGCGAAGACTCACTCACACTCCCTCTCTCACACACACACCCCCTGCCACTTTCTAAAACAGCTAATTTTAATTAGGCTTTTATTTTAATTGAAAAGCTAAGATACATTCCAGCAAGCTGCAGCAACTGCAGTTCTAAAATTGATTGTCCTGAGCACCTCCCAAGTTCTAATTCTGTAGGTTTGGTTCACATAAGCAAAAAAGAATGAAAGAGGGCAGGGGATTTAGCTCAGTGGTTCCGGTGCCTGCCTCACAAGTGCATGGTCCCGAGTTCGATCCCTGGTACCAATAAACAAACAATAACATGAAAATAAGCAAGAAGTCTACAAATACACAGTGAAAACACTGAGGCACCTGAAAAATAGGCTCTATCAAAAAAACCAACAATTCATTGTGTAGAGAGCCAAACCTCAGAAATGACGAATATCAGCAGGATAAGGCAGCTAAGTTTATTTCCTCTAAGCCTCTGGCCCCAAAGTTTCTCTCCATTCATCAAGAAGACAGTCACCAAGATGAGACACAAATAGGATGTCACAGGGAGCCGCAGTGAGAGAGGAAGGTGGCTTCTGGGCACCTTCCGGTACCGTCCCCTCCCTCTGCTGCTCCACAGAGAGGGGAGGACATCTTTTTCTTTATTCTTTTAGGATATTACTTCAGTTAGTATTTGAGATTGCGCTTTTTTAAGAAAAGAAAATGTACAAGCAAACTTAAAAACGGAGGGAAGAAAAGTATCACCAACACACCTACCTTACTGAGCTCTGCGTAATTCTTGTTTTCCCAGGTAACTGGCGAAGCCGTCGTTTTCTTGCTGAGCAAGGCTGATTTGTGTCCTCGGAATTTACAGGAAGGGGAGGAAGAGATCAGAGATCCTGTCTGTGACAGTTTAGACTGGAACAAATGATTGATCACGACATTTTCACTAGCTGGGAAGTAAGAGATGAACGTTGTAAGTGTCTGAACACCATTATTTACTTGAATATTAAATGCATTCTTCCTAGAAGAGCATCAGCCCCTAAACAGCCCCTGGATGGAAGATGTCATTGGTGTGGCAGTGAGGAGCAGGCCCTTCCCATGGGCCCATTTATTTCCTTCACTCTTCACACAGCCTGACAGAGGCTGACCTTCATTTGCCCTTGGCCAGCAGTCCCGACCCCAGGTTCTTCCCGGCGCCCCTGGCCTTTGGTCCCTGGCAGGAGGCACTGAGTCTTCCTGCTCAGACATAACAGGCTTTTGTGCACTGGCTGAGCCGTGAAGACTCATGGTTTTTGTGGGCAACTTCTCATTCCGGGAAATCACCACCCGAGACCGCAATCTCCAGAATCTGGCCTGTTTCAGAGTGTGAGCACTGCGGACAGCCTGCCTCTCTGGCTGCTCAGGTGTTAGGCTAGAGAGAGGAGAAACTGGCCCTTGTATGACCCAGGCAAGCACACAGGTAAAGCAAGCTGGACATTTCAATACCAGGCTACGTAAATCTCATGATCCTGGGACTAGAATCCTTTCTTGGCCTCTCAGGGAGAAACCAGGGGTTGGCCAAATGGATTCTGGGTTGCAAATTTGAGCAGCACAGTGAAAACAAACCAAGGGATGGTGTACAGAACAACTGGCCTTCAATTTAAAGCAAAGCAAAATTACTGATGTGGTGAAAGCCAAAGAAAAGCTGGGAAGTGTCCAAAATTAAAGAAATTCCTAAGGAAATGGTATCTGTGATAAATGACCCTGCACTGGTGGAAACCACTATAACAGCCTCTGCACTGATTTATAGCCGTTCTTTAAGGCTGCAGCCACTTCAAAATAAACAGTTAATCAGCATATCACACAGCCCATTTAAATGAAAATAAATAATTACTAATCACTTATATCTCTGACAAGTTGGTATATAAATGAGCCCAGAGATACATAGTGCAACATATTATTCTTCTGAGGAAAAATGCCCTTTACTGAGACTAGGAGCTCTAGACAGATGTAACGATGCACCGAGATACACAGCAGGCCCACTTCTCAGCCTTCTGTGCGACCCCAGTCAGGCTGCATGCAGAGGTAGCTGGCCGGGGTCCTCCGGCCCACAGAGCAGCCCCGTTGGGATGGACAGTGGGGGTGGACAGCAGGGTCCCTGCGGCATGGAAAGGGGAAGCCTGCGTCCTTTTGCTCGGGCCCTGGCGAGGGAGTCCTGGTAAAGGGCGACGTCAGCCTTCCCTTGAGGCCATTCAGCTTCTATCCCGGGTGTCGCCCTGCAGTGGGAGGTGCTGCTGACTGACACCTGCAGGCCTCACACGGGGAGCCTTTCCACCGTGCAGTGGGACGTGCTAACTGCGGTGTCCACAGGTTACAGTCAAGCAGAAGGACTCAAAGATCCTTAGCATCACTGATGCCAAGCCCTGGACTCTCCTGTTCTCAGGGGCAGATGTGGAGCCTGCACTTGGGCTCATTTTCTTCTTTCTGGGTTGAGTTCTCTTTACTCTCGAGCACAAATGGGTGTGCTGCCTCCAGGTCCTGTCCCTCAACGCCTGAGTCCCCTGGCAGCATCTCCTGCGCACAGTCCCGCCATAGGGACCTACAGCAGTCCCTGCCTCTTCCTCAGCCCTGCACTTCCAGGAGATAGGGAGGTCGAGCTGCACAGTGTAAGCAAAGTGCTTAGAAACAGACGTTCTTGTTATTGATCAATTCTACTGCTGTAGTAACTTTCTGGGACACTGAAATATTCCACAGGTTCATAAAACACCATCGTGGCCCAGCATCTTTTGCCTGGAGAAGAGAACGGACCACTGCTCCAGCCTGCGGGTTGGTTATAGCCCGAGACATGTGCCTGTGAAGGAGGGGATTCTGGAGCATGTGTGTTATGTAGAGACGTTTGCGCATTACAACAGCAGAGGGATTCCTTGTAAACAGGACAAAGGCTAAAGCCTTATTCTCTGCCCTCTATGAGCAAACATTTGTCACCACCTGTATAAACACATGCAGGGCATGAGGCCCTGGGTTCAATCCCCAGCACTGCAAAACAAGCAAGCAAACAAACAAAACCCCCCAGCAAAAATAAATACATATAAAAGCGCATTGTAAATTATGTTGTTTTGTTTAGAATAAACAATAATCACTTGTGTTTTCTAGTCAGTAAGTGCACACAAAAATCACTTTAAAATTGAGGCACACTTGTAAGCAAAACTGCAATGCCCTGATCCTCACAGTCTCATTCTAAATACACATCTGTATGAATGCATGCTGCACTACTGGGAAATGCAAAGTCAAAGGATGGCCCATTCTAAAACATGCCACATTCAAGATAAGACTCGAAAAGACGGTGCGTGAAAAATGCAAGTTAAAAAACCCACAAACTGGAAGGAGGCTATTTCTCCCAATGCCAATAAACAGGAGCAATTATTTCAGCCGTTTATTTTTTCATGCTACCCTCCCATTCCACACTTTCGTCATTGGTCTCAGCTCCAAGGAGTCAATGGGGAACAGCTGAGCTGCCGACCCAGGCCAACACGTTTGTCTCAGCTCAGAGGAGCTTCCCAAGGCTCCGATGTGGCCCAGATGCACCTGCTGCCTCACCAGAGCTACCAGCGCTTCTGCTTCCGGCCAAGGAGGAGGGTTCTGGCTCATCGGGACCAGCGTGATGCACGAAAGACCACATCTCTAATTCATTACAGAGCTTACTGGGAAGACCTAAACGGCTGTGGAACTGCTATTAAGAAAATAACTGCTGAATTTTACAGAATAATTACAGAATTTTATATGTGTGTATATGTATATACATTTATAGTATTTAGTTTCACACCTGTACAGAATTATAGTCTCTCTCTCTCTCTCTCTCTCTCTCTCTATATATATATAAAGTACTAATCCCCATTAAGTAGTAGCTGTTAAATCTATACATATATGTATGTACTTACACATATAATTTCTCTTAGTGGGCATTGATACTTTATAACAAAAGTGCAGAAGAATAAAATACTGTCCCTAGCTGTGCTCCAGAGTCATCTTAAGTAATGCAATTCCCCCTTCTGTGGCCTAAATAACTTTGGAAACCATATTCATCTTCATTAGTCTTCACAGAAAAGCTTTTTATATTCATACCACTGAAGTAGTAAAGGTGTTTTACATTCCTGTCTCTAAAAGCTTAGTTAAATTATGGTTTCTTCTGGACTCCAAATTAAATTGTAATGAATATATAGTGTGGCAGGACCCATTCCTTTTTATTCTGGGCATCAGAATGTAAAAGATATTTCAATTATCCTTTAGCTGGAGGTATATTTTATAGGAAAATATTCAGAGGTAGAGAAATAAAGAATGGGTAGCATTGGGGGGAAAATCAACTTACTTTTCATTACAAATAGAAGATTCTGTGAAAGGGAGTCTTTGTTTTTTTCAATTGCTCCAGCAATTTCATACATTACCTATAATAAGAGAAAACAGGATGATTACTACGGATTGATCATCGCTGTGAAAATATATTCCTCTACAGAGTAACTTGAGTCAGCTGAAGATTTAAATGACTCATGCAGCATGTCAGGAGTCGGAGTCTGGCCCCCTCAGTGAGCTCCTATTCTGCTCACGGAACAAGGGTTCCCTTCCTGGCCTGTTTCCCGCCCCTGCATTTCGGGGCATGGTGGCTCACCTCCACGGAGTGTGGTCTCCAACTCACTCAGAAAAGCAGTGGCCCAGCAGAAAGACTTGAACCCCTTGGGGATGAAGTGGGACTTCCCTTTGAGAACCCCAGGGGTCCCCCGAGTAAGAGGTTCGGATGGATCCTCAGCCAGTTAACCCCAAGTCTTTAGCCTGAAAACACAGGGAATAGGCTCTTCGGTCGGCACAGTACACCTCAGTACACCAACACTTGCAGGTGACTCCACCATGCTTTCCGGGTGTGCAGTGTGTGCAGGGACGGGCACTCTGGGGACAGACGTGGTTCTGTCCCCTCCCTGTAGGAGCCGTGGGTTTTCAGTCCCTGGACTCCTTGCAGACATATCCCGGGCACCGCACCCTGGGCAGGGTCTCAGACGGCTGTGCCTCGACCTTGGTGGGCCAGCTGACCAGTGACACCTGCTCCGCCACCACCCTGGCGGGGACGCTAAGAAGGAGCCTGCATGAAGAGACCTGGTCACTTGGTGACCGGAGAGCCCAGAGGGACGCAGAAGAGGGAACCGGGCAGACGGGAGCATCACAGGACACCACATATTCTAGCCACGGTTCAACACCAACAGCTGCTCCGTAACTAGGGAAGTGTTCTCCACAGGAGTGACTCTGCCCTCGGGGCCTTCCCAGGGTCTGGAGACACTCTCCTCACGACCGTGGGGGACCGTGGACAGTCCTGTCCGGGGACACCCCGCAGCGCCACTGTGGGGGATTATTCAGCTCCAAACGTCCGTGATGTTGAGAGGAGAAGCCCTGATCCGATCCAGGAGTGTGGCTTCTCTGTGCCGCCCTGTCAGGGACCACAGCGCTGGGGCCACCTCGCGGGACAGGCCACACAACTCCCTGAGCCTCTCTGGTCCCTGTGGACTTCGGCCAGCTGTTTACTGTCCCAGAGTTTCATTTGTTAATCGATAACATGGGTGTAAGATGAGCTCCCTTGCACAATGTGATGCCACACACACGAAAGCTCTCTGCAGACAGAAGGAAAGCTGTCAGGTGTTCCGGTGGAGTCCCAGGGTCCACCCACCCTCCCGCCCACGGGCTGTGGGAGGGCCCCTCCAGCTCACTTCCGGCAAATGAAGAGCAGGCGAGCTGAGGTCCGCTGACTGCTGTGCCGTGGTGAGGAGCAGGTATGAGTTTTTGATGTCGTTCCTCAAACGCCCTCTTAGCGCATGAAGGGAGAGACCTGCCTGCCGGAGATCTCGCCCCATTCCTCCTCCTACTTCTGGCCCAGGACTGCCGGCGGCTGTGGTGCGGACAGCCCGGCTCCGACCCTGGTCTCCGGCGGCTGTGCCGTCCTGTCCCTCTCTGGCAGAACCCGCCCGTCCTTCCCGTGGGGTCTCCTCCTCTCAGCTCCTCGGGATCTCGGAGATCCTCGCCCTACCCTGACCCTGACCCTGACCCTGACCCTGACCCTGACCCTGACCCTGACCCTGACCCTGACCCTTCAGGCCCGGTATCACCGCGCTGCCTGGCCAGCAAGTGGAGCGGCCCAAGCCTGACCAAAGGCGGAGCCACGCCGCTCCAAGTCCACGGTGGGATCCTTCCGGCTGCCAGCAGCTCAAGCTAAGGTCCCGCGCACCTGGCTGTCAAGCTTCCCCGGCGTGCCCCAGGACACCGCACGGAACCCCCCACTGGGAAATGCGTTTCCCCTTCAAGCTTCCAGCCTCAGATTTGCTCCTCCTCAGACAAACATACTTCTTAAACTTTAAGAAAAACAAGACTCTCTCGCCAGAAAACTCCAGCCCTTCCTCCTCTGACTGCTCTTCCCGCCCGTCCACTGCCTGTTCTCCAGGCAGGAAGGAGCCTGGACGCCGCCCAGGGAGTTCGCGCGCTCCCCTCCCACCCCCACTTGGCATTTTCTCCACCGCACACGGGTACAAACCACCACGGATTATTTTGACAGGTAAACAATCAAAAAGACCAAGAACTACCTCGTGCCTCCTGTCTTCACGCTTACGTCCACAGAGCTGCATGTTTCCTACCCAGACCCCTGACCCTCTCCCACCGGGCCACCTCTGCATGGCTCCAAGCGCAAGTCTAAGCTCTTCCCCGCACGGGAATCTAAGGGTGCCAAAGGAAACACACGCACACACGCACACGCAACACGACTAGGCCACTCGGCTTCCTCTGGTACACTCCTTGCTGCATTAGCTCATCCTGCTGGGGCTTCCTAACCCCGGTAAGCTCACTTCCGGGTGTGCCTGGTAGTGATGATGGGGTGCTCAGCTCTGTGCAGAGACAAGCCAAGTACCCCGCTCCCTGGGTGCACCCGGTAAGTATGTGGTGAAACAGATGAGGCATTTTGTTGTTTTATGACCAGACACAGCATGCCACTGTGCAGTCTCTTTAAACGTGAAATTATGCTATGAGTCCCTCCTGGTCACAACATCACGGGCTCTGGAAATTTCTAATACTTGGTTTACGTAACTAGAGGCAAAGCTGAGGGTCTCCCACTAAAACTGAAGTTCAAATCCACCAGGTGGAGACTTCAACAGGTAAATTGCCTAGAAAAGCATTTAAGGCACAGAGACAAATGCAACATTCAGTGAGGGCAGTTCAGTGTTTGTAGGATGCCTACTTTAGGAAAATGTATTGTATTGCCGGGGTACTGACCTATGAATGAATCACGAAGCAGGTGAGCTTGGGGACCTGTGATACCAGGTAAACTCCGTGCCAAGAGCCCTTCTCCGTGTGTCCCACTATGTTCTCTCAGGCCCCTCAACTCTGAAAGCCTCTGACCCTGCTCATAAGATATGGGTTACAGCATTTGATTGACAGTTCAATAGAAACATGAGACACTACCAAAGTAGGGCAGTTATCATTACTAACAGAGTAATGCAAATGATGGGGAATGTACTGTACAAGATTGGCATTGGTAAATTCCTAACACGTGGCTTCAAATAAAATTTTTGTTCCAAATCTGAAATCACGAATTTCGTCCAGCAGCCGTGGCACGTCTGACAGGAAAAATGACACACAAACCCCCCTCTGCACCGCGGGGCACTGCAGCACGTTGTCACTGCAGTGGTCCAGGCTTCTCGGCCTTTTCAGTGGACAGAGTTAAGAAATATTCACACACGAGCATGCATACACCGGTGTACACACCTCTGCCCCACGCACACTTTCATTATTTTCTTAAAGATAAAATACAAATGGATTCCAAATTTGACCTTTTAAGCACCATAGTTTCCACAAGCAGACAGTTTGCTATTGGCCTTTTTGAGGACCATTTAAAAATCTAAACAAATGATGCCAAGTCATCCCCCTGGAACACACACATAAGTAACATATTATCACCTTTACATACTTCAAATTAAACTTCAATCTGCAGATCACTTTAGATTCACCTGAAGTTGCAAGAAACTACACAGAAAGATCACGTGTCCCCTAAATGACTTCCTTCAGTGCTAACATCCTATAAAATAATCACAACTAGGATACTGATCAGTGCAGGAAAATCAAGAATTATTAACACCAGCAGATGGATCCTGCCTGCTGCCACTCCGGGGACACATTCGTGTCTCCCAAAACTGTTGAGCCTGTTGTGTGGCTCTATTTCTAGGTTCTTCCTTCTCCGTTCGTCTCGGATCTACTCCTCCACACAATCTTGGTTACTGTAACTTTACAGCATGATGTGAAGTCCACAGGCCAATCCCTCCCACCACATTCTTTATACGAATCAATTTGGCCATTTTAGCATCTTCATCTACCGTATACATTTTAAAATAGTACTGCCAGTCCTCCATATCTATAAAACATTTTGCTGTGATTTTTGATAAGGATTCCATTAAATCTGTATGTCATTTGGGGGAGAACAGACTATTGCTATGTTGATTATTACTAAGTGATTTATCGTGTTGTCTCCTCATCCATAAACATGCCATGGTGCCCCTTTTCTATGCTATCTTTCATCAGAATGTTGTGTTTTTCAGCACATAGCTTCTCCACATGTTTTGTTAGATTTATACCTAAGTACTGCATCTTTTTTGTATGACTGTAAATGTTACTGTATTTTTAGTTTCAGTGTCCATTGCTAATATACAGAAATGCAATGGATTTATGTTCATTTTGTATCTTGTGACTGCTGAATTCACAGATTACTTCTGCAAGTTTCTCTCTTTTTGGTAGGTTCCTTGTGGATAGGTGCAGGTTCATGTCTTCCTTTCCAGTCTGTCTTTTATTCCCTCTCTCGCCTCAGTACACTGGCTGGAACTCCACCACTGTGCTGGCTGAGGGTGGAGCAGACATCTGTGCCTTGCTTTTGACCACAGGAGTTAAACGCTCAGCTTTCAACATTAAACAGTGTTAGCAGTGGGAGTACAGAAGATGTCACTTATCAGGTCGGGACTGTCTATTAGAGATTTTGTGTGAGTGGATATGGAATATTTTTTATCAATTGCTTTTCCCGCATCAATGCATAGGATGATGTGGATTTTGTTCTTTAGGGTATTAATACTGATGGATTACCTTGACTGATTTACAAATACTGAGGTGGATTTGCTCTCTGGAAAAAATCCCAATTGGCCCTAGTGGGTAATTCTTTTCATAGATTGCTGAATTCTCCAGATTCATGAGGGATTTTCATTCTTGGCCGTCTTTCGAGTGCACACGTGTGTCACAGACCTTGATTTTGCTATCAGTAATCCTAACTTTATAAAACAAATTAGGCAGTGTTCTCACTTCTATTTTCTGGATAAGACTGTGTAAAGTTGCCACTAATTTTCCTCAAAACATTTGGTAGACTTCTTCAGTGAAACCATCCCGAACAGGGAGCTTCATTTTGTGGAGATTTTAAATTACAAATTCACTTCTTCCCCTGATAGGTCTATTAAAACTACATGTTGGGTGCAGTGGACCACCTTGTTTTTTGAGGAACTGGTCCATTTCATCTAAATACTCAGGCTCGTATGAGTTATTAGCAGTGTTCTCTGGGTCTTGTTGATGCCTATAAATCCACTGCCTATTTTAGTCCCAATATTGGTAATTACGTCTTTTCTTTTTTTATCCCGTCAGTCTCACCAGAGATTTATCATTTTTATTGATATTCTCAAAGATCCAGGTCTTTGCTTCATTGATTTTATCCCTTTTTCCTTCAATTCCATTGATTTCTGCTTTTTGTCACTGTCTCATATTTGCTTCCTTTGATTTTGCTTCTAAATTCCTGCAGTGGAAGCTCATTCATTTCCAACTTTCTGTTTCCTTATTCTTTTTGTACTGTGTCAACTGCATCTCACAAATTTTATATGCTACATTTCCATTTTCATTCCATTGGACATATATATATATATATATTTTTAATTCTCTCAAGACTTCCTCCATCCATGGAATATTTGAAACAGTTCTGTATAGCTTCTAAGCATTTGGAGATTTTCCTGTTCTTGCTGATTTCTAGATTGACTCTGCTGCTGCAGGCCGACCTACTCCGATTAATCTCAGTTCTTTGAATCTGTTCTGTTTCACAGTTCACCACACCCTCCTTTGATACACGTTCCCTGACCCCTTGCATCCGGGAATTCTGCCTCTGTGGGCTCACACCTTCAGTAAATACTGATGAGAAGCTGTTGGCTGATGGTGCTGCATGGTTCTTCTGGGTACTTGGGGTTTTCTGTGCAGGATTCTGATGTGTGGAGAGGAGGCTGCTGAAGTTTCTGCCGGCCCTGCAGTTGTGGGCTCCCGATGCTGCTCAGCCGGACCAGGAGGCAGGTCGCTTAACGCAAACCTGGAAGCTCGGCACAAACTGAAACCGGAAATTAACTGAGCATTTCAAAACTGTACATACTAAAAGAAAACCAGGATTTTAATCAGTGAAACTAAAAAATTGTTCAAAATTTATAACAAAATCTGTTCATTTCCAAATCATATGTACTAAAAAAAGCTATGATTTTATGTGTGATGAAAATTTTTGGTTTTTGAAAAAATTTTATAACAAATGAGATGGCCATAGCTTTCAATAATTATAACTTGGACCAAAATAACCATGTTTGATCTTTGTCTTAAAGGAGTAGAAGACCCGTGTGTAAGGGAGGTTTCCCAGGGAACCAGTGGAATTGATAGTGCCACGTGGCAGCCTGGCTGTCAGGAGGAGGAGCTTACATAGCTCAGGCACTGCAGCAAGCGGAGGCCCAGGGAGTCAGTGGCTGAAGGCCCGGGGCCCGGGGGTCTGAGGAGTGGGGAGCGGGCGGGCAGGGGCCCAGCTTTCCCTGAGCTCTGTGCTGTCCTCCTTGGCCCTCAAGATGGCCAGGGACCCACGGTGCCTGGAAGCGGAGGGTCTGCTTTCCACGGGCCACAGAGTCCAATCCCAGTCTCTTCTAGAAAGCCTCAGACACTCGAAACACGCTGGCCTTGTCCTGCTTCCACAAGCTTAAGGATCACACAGTTTCTCTGTGGGAGAAACTCCAAGTATAAATAAACCAAGGAGCAAATAAGAGATAATCCAAATGGGGAAAAGACTGTTCGCGACGGGAAGGGGACCGAGGGGCTGGAGGGGTGAAGGCGGGAGCAAGCGGTGCCGGGCACCCGCTCCCCACGTGCATGGATCATCACTGCTGCAAACGTGACCAAAACTACAAATACTGGCTTTTAACTGGCAAGTAACTGCTGTGTCTGTGCAGGAGGTACAATGTATCGCTGATCTGGGAAGAATCAGGCCGGCTGACCGCTCCCTCTCGGTGTCCCACGGTCCAGCCGTGTCCACGAGAACACTCCACCACCGCAAGCACACGGGCCATTTGGAGGGAAAGACAGGAAGGGAGACCAGGCTCCTGATAGGCCCACCTGCAGAGCAGGCGGCAATGCTGGGCTCTCTTCCTGGCTCTCTTCCCCCCCCCTTCCTGTTCTTTTGCTCTTTCTTTCTCCTCCTCTCTCTCCTTGCCTTCTCCTCCTTCTTCCCTTTCTTTCACTCTCTCTCTCCTTCCTCCCTTCTAATCACTGTCTCCATCTCTCTCCATATCCATTTCTCTCCATCTCTTCACCTCTGTTGTAGTCAGGGTTTGCAAGGGAATAGATTTACTATAGGACACATAATTTACAGGATTATTTTATAATAGTCACCTAAAAAGTCACATGCAGAGGAGGGCAAGAGATCTGTCCACACACTAGAGACCTGAAGAATCCGGCCAGGCCTGGAGCCCATGGCGATGGCTCATGCTCGTCCTTATCAAGGGTCTGCACGGGAAGGCCCAGAGGCCAGTGGTGGAAGCCAGAAAAACTGTGCTGGTGGGGTGAAGGCTCTGTGCCGCCAGGCTGAGGGGGCTGTGCTGGAGCCAGGAAGCGATGCTCACGGTGAAGACCAGAGCTCCCCTGAGGAGAGCAGCAGCCGTCCCTGGGGACAGCGAGGACCCTGGGGACAGCGAGGACTCTGAGGATGAGAACAGCCCGGTTCGTATCAGGAAAACCAGCCGCAGCAGGCTTTGCCAGGAAAATCGACAGCACAGGATCTTCCCCTCCAGGTCTCTTTTTATGCTATTGGCAGTGATCCTCAGGTGGGTCTTCCACAGCCAAACCATGCTGACCCAGTTCAGCTGGGTGCTCCAAGTGGACCCTTAATCTGCCACGACCTCCCTCCCATCTGCCTCTCATTTTGAAGAGAACCTAAAAGGCCTGTCCCCTCCCCGTGTACAGCACCTGTGGTTTACATCCCTGTCCCCATTTCTAATCCTGGCCCATGCTGGTCTTTCCCTTTTCCAGAACTCCGAGCCCCTGGCCGGAGAAGGATGCACGGCAACACCTATGCGGTCCCCAGGAGGCACAGGGGCTGCCTGTCCAGCAAGAAGAGCCTTGTGCTGCACCTGCA